GCTGGGATTAAAGGCATGTGCCACCACCACCCAGCCTAGGTGACACATTTCTGTAGTTGGTCCTTTCCATCTGACTTTCCCTTAGTACAGGTCACTCAGTGTTGGTCATGGGGCTGTACATAAAGGCAACTCACTTCTGTTCACCGGTGAGCATCACAACTCCTTTTTGTACAGGTCAACTGAGGACATGCCGATTATTTGCAATTTTTGATGATTATGAGTAAAGTTGCTATCAATATTTATAGATTTCTGTGTGTATATATCATCATCTCACTAAATCAAGTGCTCTGGAGTGAGCTGTGTGGTGAGCCTGTGTCTAACTTTAAAGGATGATCATATTTTCAAAGCACTGCCTTAAATTTCTGCTTCCTGTGATCTTTGGATCATACCGTGAGCATTACAGAGTTCTTGGGGGGATTTTCAAAGCTGTAGGGGAATGATGGAGGTGTATCAAGGTAGGGTTGGGCACATAGGGAGATGAGTGGATTGGAGAGAGAATCAACCAAAATCAAGTATGTGTGAAAATGCCATAAGAAAACTGGTTACTTTGTATGCTAATTTTAAAATAAACTAAGATAAGCAAAACAAACAAACAAACAACAAAATAAAACCAGACAAAAGGTGAAAATTCCTTTGGCTATGTTGATGCCACAAATGTACCACTTAAAAAGCCACCAGGAAAGTGTAGAGGTCCACTACAGATCTTGACTTTTCCAAAATTGCCATGCTTGGCTTGCTTTTAAGGGGACCAGTCCAGGATTGAGTGGACATCCAACAAGTTTTAGTCAGAACCAAATAGAGCGGAGAGCTGGGTGAAGTGCCATGAGAGAAACAGGCAACGGCTTGAGGAGTGAGCAGTGTTCCATGCCATATTCTGTTATAGTTCCCTTGGACCAGTGGGGGTGCTGTCTCCATTCACATTGCTAAGTGGATTGTTTGCCTTCCAACAGAGTCTTCTTCTGTCTAAAGCAAGCAGGACTGTGGGCACCCATAGATTCTTGGGGAGGGATGTGTGTTTTAATTCATCTGGGTATCTAAGGACTATCAGGTACCAACAACAGACAAGAATATTGGGTTTATCTAGTGAAAAGAAACTCCTGTGTTCTTCTAAAGGAACAGCTTTGGTTTAATATATCTCAAAAATCTTCATGTGGGGAACCACCCTTCTATCTGGATGGAGAACAGTAATGCAAGTTCCGTTCAGTCAAGCTGGCCTCTGTTGTGACTTCTCTATCTCTTCTAATGGTTTCAGGGAAGGATGGGGAAAGACTGACCCAGGCAGACTTGGTCAAAGTACTGCAAGAAGTCCTGATTCCTTTCATGGGGGTTACTATAGGTGACAGCCACAAACTGCATTTTGGGAAAGTTATGTACATTTAGAAAGTACATTAGAAGTTTTCACCAAAAGAAAGGATGAATGCTGGAGAAGACAAGTATGTTGAATCTGACTCCAAATTGCACAGTATGTATGTGTGTTAAAACATACTGAGGCATCCCATCACCCCTCCTTACTCCCTCCTTCCCTCCTTCCCCCTCCTTCCCACCTCCCACCCTCTCTGACAGTGTTACACTATGTAACCTAGGTTGCACTCTAGCTTGCAATTCTTCTGCCCCAGCCTGGTACAAGCTGGGATTATGGGGATGTGCCACCCTGCCTCTCTCTATTTTTGTGTTTTGATGTATCGGTTAAGAAATAAATTTAATCTAAACAATGTGTGGTGCCACATGCCTGTAATTCCATAGACAAGGAAGCTGAGGGCGGGTCTCGAATTTGAGGCCAGCCTGGACTACATCATGAATTCAAGGCCAGGTGGTCTGCATAGTGAGACTTTGTTTCAAAACCCTAGAAAACAAACAACTAAAAGGAACTATTTAAATGGAAAACAAATGGCTTAATTTCTAAGAACGTCAGAATCTTATACACATTTGCCACAATCAATATGCACATTAAACTTGTGTCAGATTTTCTTGGATAACAGTGTATAGTAAAATAAAAAATGTTATTATAATTGCTAACTAGCCCAGTCCAAGCCAGAGCATTCCATGAAGACTTCCTATTTATGAACTGGTCCTCAGTTGCCTTTGAATAAACCCTCAAGAAAGCCTAAGGACTGCCATGAAATATTTTCCTTTATCTTTTTTTGAATATTTTATTGTTGCTATTATCTTTTGAGTAACCAGAAAATTTGTGAAGTTTAATATTTAGCAGTGGTAGAGAAAGGACACAGAGGCAATCCAGATCTAGTTGGTTTCTAGTTTTGGGTCACTGTCTGAAGCTGTCCGTGTGCTGAGATGGGATGGATGCTCTGTATTGGGGCCCCGGGTTCAGAAATAGAAGCTCTGTGATTGTGTGTCAAGTGATGGGGCTGTGGGAGCAGTGAGGAGGGATCAGTCAGTCTTGTCTGGGCTTGAATGGCCTCCCCAGCAGCGTCTTTTAATGCCTTCTCAAGTTACTAACACACACTTGCTTTCTAGGGGTGAGGAAAGTGATACACAGCTTATTTGAGAAATTTGTCATTTAAGATGAGTCCTCTGGGTGGGATTCAGCAGACCCAGGAGAAGCTCTTTGATAATTTCCAGCCTCATCAGAACACACATGATTGTGCACCCAGGCATTTCTGCCAGCCTGTAGAAACTGTCTGGAGCAGCTAGCTTCTCAGAAATATGGGTTTCCAGGGTCACCTGACACAGCAAGGAGCTCTTCATGGCTGGGCAGGGAATACACAGGCTCAGGTTTCTCCCTTTAGAAAGCAATCAAGAAGATGGTTTTGGAAGTAAACATATTTTTGGTGGGCATGGTGCCACATGCTTGTATATAGCATTTGGAAGTTAGACACAGGAGGATCTCAAGTTCCAGGTCAGCCTGGGCTACCTAGTTCAAAGCCAGACTGAACCTCATAGTGAGACTATGTCTCAAAAACAAATAAACACAAACAAACAACAGGAGCAACAAAAACAAGCTTTTCCACCCCTTTATTTGACACTATAGATTCATATTGTGCTTGAGCTACCTATTAGGGTCCAGGAACTTACCTTTTTTCCTTGGGGATTCAGAAAACAGCAGTGCAGAGGACAGTTCAGTAGCAAGGGATAACCTGCTAAACAAGGCGTCTGTTTCTTTAATTTTTTTAGATGTTTCTGAGTTAAATGAGACTACATTATTTATCATCTCTTTTTTAAATACACACACACACACACACACATGCATACACACTCAGGCATGTACGCATGCACACACATTGTATCCTGACCATGTTTGTATAGGAGAGGTGGCAAATCTTTCCAGCTGAGGCATAGCATCACAGTGTGGTCCCTGTCACATCAGCATATGCATCTCGGGGGAGCTCCATAGACAAGCAAATGCCAGAGCTCACCAGATCCATCCCATCTGAAACTGGGCCAGCCATGGGATTTCACCCTCTAGAAGACTCCAGTATACTCAAGGGTGAGAACAGCTTCCCTTGTTCCTGTAACTTCACAAAGAAGCATACTGAGCTTGAGTATTTTGGGAATTGTAGAAGGCCACTTGGTCACAGTTCTGGACAGGATGGTACCTTGGAAGTGGAAGTGTTGTTGAGCACTCAGTCCATAAATTCACGTTCCGTGTATTTGAAAAGAAATTGGAAAAGAAAATACCTTGACTTACAGTTTTGTTAAACCAGGGGTGGGGTGGAATAAGGAAGAAACTGAGTCTCTGCCACCTCCATCCATAGCTGCTTTACTATCTTAAAATTTGTAGGTGGTCCAAACAGAGTCTAGAACATTTGGATAGAATAGTCAGGACATTGCTAATTGGGAGCTATGTTCTCATTTTCTTGATAATTTTTATTAAAAAAGTAAGGTATTATAGAAATTTACTTATTTATTAATGAAAAGAGACCTAGGGTAGTCACATGGCCAGCCTGGTAGCTGGTACCCACAGTGTCAGGGAGGGGCTCCTTTACACAGATACCCTCCATCCCACCCCCACCCCGGTTTGTTCCGTACACAGCATCTTGACACTGTACTGACCTCAGGATGTTGTTTCCAGTCCTTGGTCTGAGATGGCTGCTGGTGTAACCATCATCTCATCTGTGTTCAGCCAAAAGGAAGGAGAAGGAACCCAGAACTCTACCCCTCCTATTTAAGTTTAGAAAACCGTGTTACATAAACTACGGATTAATGCTGTGAATGAATGGCCATCACCATTTTTGAATTTGTGGTTTAATAGCATGAAGTACAGTGATTGTGCAACAAATCCACAGAGCTTCTCTGTTACTTCTTTTCACAGTGTTTACAAAATGATTACGAAAAAGATGTTCTGAGGTCCAGTCTTAATGGCTGCATGTTCCAGTGACATTGTGGGGACAGGACCTGTATGTTTACAGAAAAAGTTCTTCAACCTTGGAGCTTCTTTTTCACAACTATTTGGTTCTGAATAAATTATGCAGATGAAGTGATTGGGTCATTATTGGTGTAAGTGGGAGCCACTCTCTCAGAGAATCTGGTCTTCTAAATACCCCAGGTTCCTCCTAAATGAAAATTAAGGAATTATTTGGCACTGGGCTCTTTTTCCTGAGAACAATGACATCAATGATGTTTAACTTCAGTATTAGAAATGCTTTTTTGACAAACTTGACATAAAAGTGTCTAATTTATTAAATGTTATCAAGACAGTCCTAAGATTAAAGGCAGCTGCATAAAGGACACCATGTTCGTTAGCTCCCCTTTTAAGGGAGCACCTTAGAGACTGTAAAGTGGGCTAAATTTCCATCTTATGAAAATATCCCCACTTCTGAGGCCCTTTAAATACTTGTAGGACATCATTTAAGAGGAGTTGATCTTAAGCAATCTAATTATTCCCCATTTTGTGGTGATATATTATGTACCCTAATAAAATTTGCCTGCAGATCAGACAACAGAACAAGCCACTAGATTAAACATAGAGGCCAGGCAGGGGTAGCACACACCTTTAATCCCAGCACTTGGGAGACAGAGATCTGGCTGGATCTCTGTGAGTTCAAAGCCTCTGTGGACTACATGAGATTGACTCAAGTCTAGGAGAGAAACAGAGCCGGGCAGTGGTGGCACACACTTTTAATCTCAATACTTGGTAATCACATGCCTTTAATCCTAGCACTTGAGATCTCATGTCTTTACTTGGGAAGCACACACGCCTTTAATCCAGGAAGTGATGGCGAGGCAGAGAAAGGTATATAAGGCGCGAGGAGACAGGACCTAAGGGCTTTTCAGGCTGAGGAGTCCTAGAGGTAAGACATAGCAGTGGTTTATTCCTTTGTCTCTCTGATCTTTCAGCATCCACTCCAATATTAGGCCTGCTTTTTTTTTTTTTATTTAAAGACCATTTAACATTCATGTTACACCATTTTACCCATGTCTTGACTTAGTTTTAAGTGCTGATGAATATCTAAGGGTTCTGTCCAAATAAAGCAGCTGGTTGGTGTGCTAAGGGGGATGGGCCCTCCCAGGACTGGTTTTGTTCCCATGTAGAATGATTCTTCAAGCCCTACCCTGCTCTGGGTCTACTTAAGTCTGGGTACGATGGTGTTTGTATGAGGGAGATTTTGGGGAAAGGTTGGCCAAAAGGAAGCCTTTGCCTAAGTCTGATCTTGTTCCCCTTTCCTGGACAGACAGGTACCTTGGTGAGTTCCTGTTTGGCACAGCACTCCCCATGGACTCTCTTCACATCATTGTCCATCAATGTGTCCCCTTACTTAGTTGTCTTTTGAGAGCCAGTGGGGAGTGATATGATACCTTGCCTAACTAAATGTTGTCTGTACCTCCTCAGAGAAGAACTCGAGCTGTGCCTTCATTTCAGGCAATCCCACATGTTTTATTAACGTTATTTTCTTCACTACAATGGATTCTATGCATTTCCGTCCTAGAAGGCATTATGAACCATTTTGCTCAAAATCCCAAGGTCTCTATCATGCTGAGCTTCATTTCATTCTGGAATCTATAAGATTAAAAAAAAAAACCAAACTTCTAATTGAAATGTACATTGACGATGGGCTGTGGTGACACGTGCCTTTAATCCCAGCACTCAGGAGGCAGAGACCAGCCTGGCGTACAAAGCAAGTTCTAGTACAAAGCCAGGGTACACAGAGAACCTTGTCTCAAAAAAAAAAAAAAAAAAAAAAAAGAAAGAAAGAAAAGAAAAAGAAATGTACACTGACAATTTAAGAAGTCTCCAATAGGAAACTAGAAACCACGCTAATACTAGGGCCAATCAAATAAAGATTTCAATCAACTGCAGCCATTTTGAGAATACTCTGTGCACCCGCATTGTTGCTATATCCATTTCATTTTGCATCCGAGGAAATTAGTGCCTGTAGTTTCCTGTGGGAGACCAGGCAGATTAGCTATACCGAATTCACTGAGCCACCAAGGCAGGGTCGGGGCCAACACACACTCCGCTGAGCTGAGGCACTCTCCCAGAAGCTGCAGGCAGGATGGGAATGGACTTGGTCCCTGGGGTCTCCCTGCATCAATCACCTTCTGGATGAGAGGGCTTTGGACTATCTACATGTGTTTTTCCTGCTTGTCAGGAAACGCAAGGCAATTGTTAGCGGTGGTTATGTTTAGAGAAAATATTTATTCTATTTAAAAGCATTTCCACCGCCCATCATGGTTGGCTTCTTCCTCATCGTGTGTGGGACTTAACATTCTTTTCCTTGTCAACAAGGATTATGTGGAGGCTGAGATTATGAAGGCTCTTGGCTTTCTTTCCCCTATGGTTTTGTTTCAGAAACATAATAATGATTTTTTAAAAAAAAAATTGTAGGAAATTTTCATCAGTAAAAGGGATCCACACTCTTTTGGGAGCAGTTGAGGTGACTCTGGGTTGGCTACTGAACTGGAGAACAGATTATAAAGCAAAGACAGAGGTCACACTTGGGTCTCCATCATCTGCCTTGTGACGAGTGATGACAGAAACTACAAGATGCCTTTTCCTTTCTTCTTTGGAGTTAAAACCACATTTTTTTCCTCATTTTTAAAAAATTGAAAATTTCAAGTCAAGTCACAAATAAAAAATTTGGGGGTGGGGGTGGGGAACGATAAGGGTTGTCTTAGCCTGAGTCTCTCCGCTTTGCACGCCAATGCAGATGTCCTATGCAGGGCACTGAGACAGGAACTTATTTCTTAGGCAACCTCATCTTCTTGGTCCAGGGCCATCTCGGACTCTCCTACCAACTCGCTAATGGACTTAGAGGTCCCGGAAAAAGAGCTGGGCTCCTTCATGGGAACTGCCAGTTGTGAATGTGAACACACACGGCAATGGGTTATCTCTCTGGGGGTTAAGTTACCTCATTCAGTGTCAGCTTGTGCAGACAATGGGGGGAGGCCAGGGGGCCCCTGCATAATCCTTTTACCTGCCCCGTCTGAAGTGACACTGGAATGAAGGGACACTTTGGGAAGGTATCAATTTCCTAAGCAGGTTCTGCAAACAAGCCCACAGATCCTCTGCCTAGTCACCTCGCCTCCACTGCAGGCAGAAGGGAGCCAACCCCACTCCTCACCCTGCAAACAGATGACTTGCCCTGAGTCCTGTGGAATGCCTTTGTCCCACTGTTTACCCAGGGTCCTGACAGCTCCACAGAATCATGGGCTGGGAAGGGACACTTTTTCGACTTTTTACGCCAGTTACCACATCCCGGAAGCATCAATGGTGTCTAAAATGCGTTATATAAAGTCCCAGAAAAGTAGACAAACGCATTCAGCTCCTGCATGCCAGTACCTTGCAGTGACCCAATACTCTATCTGTCCAGCTATTTTTTCCCTTTCAATGAAGCCCCACCCTCCATTTCTCACCCAAAGAAGCTGTGGTGACAGACACATAAGAATTTTATTTTCGTTTGAAAGAAACTTAGATAACAGCAGGGTTTCCATGAGAAATTTGACACAATGGGAGGGTTGGAACATTTTTTTCCAGTCAGCCCTAATGTAAGGTTGTAGAACTGAATTGGAGCCCAAGGCAGTCCTGGGGGTAAGCTGTGGCCATGTCCCTCTGCTCCAGGGATGTTTCTGCTGCCGTTTGGACTGATTCCTCCCTTTCATCCATGTTTTCAATGGAGTAGAAACTTAGAAGAATTTACACTGAACCAACATGTGTTTACCTGCCACTTAGGCTGGCTTTCAGACGTCTTGGGAACAAATGGAGAGACATGTCCATTTGTCTAGTTCTACAGTCCACACTGACACTCTGTTTTTCTCAGGATGAATGAATCTGATAATGCTGCCTTCTTCTCCTAGGCCGTTAGGAGTAACATAGAATGCAAACCATGGCAGGACTGTGATCCTCCCCTTTCCCCAGAACCTGCTTGAATCCCACCTTTATTTTGCTCTTTCCTTCATAGTGTGCCACCCTGTTTCCTGCTTCAGAAAATCGCTCCCCACTGAGTGCAGAGTACTATCAGTGGCGGTGTTTGTTTGTGGGTTTCTGTCCCTCACAGCTTCAGGGAAGCATTCTTGCTCATCTCCAGTTCCTGGCAATGGACTTGACAATCAACCTGTGTTTACTGAAGTCAAGCATGAAAGATTTTTAGTGCTTCTCATGCCAGGAATTGAGAAAAGAGAGCAAGGTAAAATATACCCCATGGTAGGCATCTCAAGACACAAAGAGGCCTTTTGTTGGCATCCTGGGTCTTTGCAAGAACTACCCAGGATTGTCCACACCTGTGGTACATGCTATTGGCCAACAGACCCAAGGAGACTCCTTTGAAAACTGTCTTAGTTTAATCAATCTCCCCTTCTCTCTACTTTTCCTTCCTCCTTTCCTTCTTCCCCCTCCCTTTCTCTATTCTTTAATTACCCCCTCTCCTTTTCCTCTTCTCTTCCCCTTCTGCTTTCTTTCCCTCCCTACTATTTTCCCTTCACTTCCTCTTCCCTCCCTCCCTCCCTCCCTCCCATTCTCCCTCCCTCCC